CACACACACACACACACTGAAACGGTCTGTGCAAAAGCACTCTCGCAGTCTCAGGAGTTTAATGCCATTTCATACAAGTCTATTTTTGTAAAATAAAACCTCATCCTTTTTAGTAAAGGTTTCACTTTTATTATTTTTATTTTAAAATTATTTTAAACATTATTTTAAAATTACAATTTGATTGCTTTTAAATTACTGATTAATTATAATTTATTTAATTTTCCAAAACTTAAAATAGTTTTATTTGATCCTTTTTCGAAGTATGTACTTTAAATGTTTAGAATTTCATTTCTTGAAGTGTTTTATTTTGATTGTTTTTATCTTTTACAATTATTTTTTTTTTATTTTACACTGATTTAATTATTTTTATAAAGTGTTTATTTTGATCATTTTCATTTACAAAATTACTTAAATTTGACATTTGTACAATTTAATTATTTTAAGAAAGTGTCTATTTTGATTGTTATTTTTTTACGATATATTTCTTTTAACTGTACATTTCAATTACATTTAGAAAGTGTTTTTAAATTAATTTGTAAAGTTATATTTAAATTTTACATTTTTTGTGATTTACTATTAAAGTGTTTATTTTCTTAATTTTTCTTTTTACGTTATATATTAAAGATTAATTTTACATTTTTGTGATTTATTTTTTAAAAAGTGAATACTTTGATATTATCCCACATTTAAATCATATTTTATATTATGATTGAATTATTTTTAGAAAGTGTTTTTCGATATTTTTCCCAAAATTAAAAGCGTATGTTTTAGATTTTTATTATTTAATTATTTTAAAAGGTGTTTTTGCTATTTTTCCATTTTTAAATCATATATTTTATATTTTTTTAAGATGTAATTATATTTAGAAAGTTTATTTTGATAGTTTTATATTTAAATTATATATTTTAATATCACATTTTTATTATTAGTTTGCATCAACTCATCAACAAAACAACAGGAAATAAAAAATAAAATTTTTTGTTCAGAACAGTATTTTCACACACAGAGTTCGGACTCACCCCTTCTTCAGCCACCTCCTCGGTTGCCGACGGCGACAGGTCTGTTACTATGGCAGCGGGCGGCGGCACCTCCACCACAGACGAGGCCGCGGTCGTCACGATGATCGGCGCGCTCATGTCAGTCTGTGAGGGCGCCGGGACGATCTTGATCTGCAGGGGTGGCGGCGGCGCCATGGCAACCACCTGTCGCGGTTTGGCCTGCAGAGGGGGCGGAGCCGGGGAATGTACCATCTGCTGCAGGCGCGGGGGTGGAGGCGTGTTCTGCATCTGCTGCAGCGGCGGAGGTTGCCGCGGCGACTGCAGCTGATGCTTGGAGATGAGGATCTTGTTGACGGGGGGCGGGGCCGGGGGTTTGTGCGCACCTGTGCGCGAGCGCGTCGTCACCTGCGGCAGGTCCAGGATGATGTTGGAGGTGCAGATGTTGGTGATGGTGTTGTTGTCGGGCGCGTGCAGCGGGATGCGGGACGAGCGCGGCGGGGTGACGGTCAATGCGGGTTCGGGAGGCGGGGCCACGGCGGCGGCAGGAGACGCAGGAGCGTCTAACACTTCAATAGTCGGCTGCTGCAGAAAAACATGACATTAACAAGGTTTCTGTTAGTCATATTTTCTGAATAAAGACAGATGAGCGATTAATTTACATGAAGTACAGAGTGAACATGACAGGAATAAGACAGCATCAAACTGGATATCTCAGCGCTGTCAAAATAAAAGTCTTCAGACGCAATGGCCAAACAAGAAAAGGCAGAAATATCGGCCGATATTCGGGATTGTAAAGACAAGGTAGCGATAAATTCACATGAAATACAGAGTGAATATGACAGGAATAAGACACAGCATCAAACTGGATATAGCAGAGCTGGCCTTCTCAGCGCTGTCAAAATAAAAGTCTTCAAACAAGACAAGGCAGAAATATCGGCCGATATTCAGGATTGTAAACAGCCCTTGTAAATAATTCCCACATATCAAGCAATATAATGGAGCGCTACTGTCTGTCTGAAGGTCACCTGTGACAGCTGATTGGCTTTGTAAGCTGCCAGGGTCTTCAGATACTCCTTCTTGGCAGCTTCCGTCTTCCTCTTGTAGACCTGAGAAGGAAAAACACGAACGTTTCGATCAGTCAAATGCAATTCTTAGTCAAAATTTAATGTCTCAAATAAACGTAATAAGACAAATCCAATAATGTTAAAAAGCATAAAAGAAAGTATTTTAATTTGTTTGCTTTTATTTTACAATTATTTAAACTTGACATTATTATTTGATTTTTTTTTTCAATAATATATTTATTATGATTATATATTTATTTTAATTTTAAATTTTTGTGATTTTTAGAAAGTGTTTATTTTGATAGCTTTCAGTTTTTACATTATATATTTATTTTGCATTTAAAAGAATAAAAGAAAGAAAAGATACCGTTCAGTTAATTTAGGTATTATTGCATCATATCTAATCATTTATTTATTATTCGTTTATTTTTATTGCCATACGAGCGTTTTCATAGCAAGATCAATGTATTTTAAAAGAAATAAATAGTAATAGTAGTAATGAAAAACAACAAATGACAACAAAAATAAGTTTTCATTTTAATATTTGATTAAAAACTATTTCAATTCAATTAATTTTATGCCAATTGTTTAAGTAGATTTATTTCATATTTAATGATTATTTTTAACATTTACTTGAACACTTAGGCTAAGATAACAATACATTTTCTTTATAAAGAGCTTTTCTGACATTCAAAGCGCTGATATTTCATGCTATTTACTCCATTTCTATGTTTGCTCGGTTGTTTTTATTCGTTCTTTTGCTTCTCACTTAAAACACACACAATTTCTCATCTTCAATTGCTTTAAGATAACAAATTGGGAGAAAAGAACAGGAACAAGAAAATATATTTTATAATATTATTTCATAATAATTTTTGACTGTTAGGGATGTGCAAATATGAGGCTTGTGCTGCATCTTTCAGAATCGATTTAAAACCCTGCAATTTTTAATTGAAGTTGCCAACAAAACGCCGAATTTATAACTCAAATTATTTAAGAACTGAATTAAATTAAAAAGTCAACCATGTCTGAATGACAATAATGTTTTTTGACACATGAGGGAATAAATAAGGGAATAATTAATCAAAAATAATTGCATTATTATCGGGTTTTTTTTTTTTACAAATCATTATTTTTATTTAATTTACAATATTTTATATTATATCTAACTTAATTTAGTATATTTTAATTACACATATTTATATACAGGGTTTCTGCAGACTTGAACAAGTTAAATTTAAGACTTTTTAAGACCTTTTTAATACCACCTTATATAAAATTTAAGACCTAAACCTGTAATGGAAATACACATTTTATTACATACATATATGTAATATTTAATGTGTATAAATTAAAAAGAAAACAATATCAATGCTGTAATAAATGGTATTTATTACTATGATATACAGTGAACTTTTCATGTCAGCAGACAATATTCCATACAAAATATCCCGCAAAATAACTGCATGAGATTTTTGGTGGAGTAAACAAACTTTTGCTGAAGCAATATTTTCATCAGTGTTCTATCAGCTTTTACATACTTAAATCTGCATATTTACCTTTACAAAGGCCCATTTTTAACCTTTTTAGATGTATGCATCATCTTACATGTCAAATTATTACAATTTATCAATAAATTCAATAAACACTATAGGGCTGCTACCAGTCAGATTAAATAATTTACACTGCAAATAAAATAATTACAACTGCAATAAATAATGTTATGAGATTAAGGTTTTAAATGCATTTATGAGTATACAAATAAGAAATGTTGAGGGGAAAAATGCATACTTTTCAACAAACTTCTCAACTAAACTACCAGTAAGTGACGGTAAGTCACTGAATGAGTGAGCATTGAGTCATTCATTCAACTGATTGAACGTGTTATCATGCATATCTTAAGGACTTTCGTGGACAGCTGACTCCTAAAGTTTCTGATATTCTTCATATTCTGTGTGGTGGTCAGATAAGTTTAAATAGATTTTTACCTTTTATGGGCATTTTACCTTTATTAAGACATTTTAAGACTTTTTAAGGACCCGCGGACACCCTGCATATAATAAATATTTAATGACTGAAAATAAAGAACTGTGTTTAACCCCTGTAAAACCTTTTGGACATTTTTGTCTTTTTCAGTTTTGTTTTTGTGATAATTTTGCCTGTGTTATTGCCAACTGCATAAATTTTGGCACAGGTGTGTATTTTTATTGGAATTTTACTATTTCACTTCCATTTCCTTTAGGACCTTAAGGACAAAAATGTCCCCATTGAGACCCATTAAAACTGCTATTATTAATCGCAGTGCCATTTAACTGTAAAATTTGTTAATAGGCTTTCATTCTGTTGGCAAGGCTTTAAAATGTAATTTTTTACTAATATTTGAGAGAGAAAAAGAGAGAAGTTTTGCTGGCATCTAATGGGGAAAATTTGGTACTGCGCCCAAACAAAATCTTACTGAAAGCTCATTTTTTGAGATATCAACTTCAAATTTGGAACACAACTTGTTTAGATTTGTGGCTTTGATTTTCTAACAGGTATAGAGTTCAACGTTTCATAAAATATATATTTTATATAAAATATCGTTCATAAATCATTTTCATAAACTTAAACCTCTATAACTTTTTTTTGGTTTCACTTTTTAAAGTTTTTTTACGTCAACAATAATCTGCCATGGGTCTTCTTTTAAAACGAGACCAAACTTCACTCTGTGCTCCCAAAGCTTCAAATTTTTATGACAGTTTTTTTTGACATGGACATTTTTGTCTACAATGGACCTGTGTGTAATTTTTTTTTAATTGGCGCACAAGGGTTGATAACATGAATTGTTGGTATTAATCCAAGTAAACCTGTCTCAGTGATTGTGTCTCTAGTGGAGTGCCTGCACCTGTTTCTGCTCCTCTCCCAGACTGTCCCACATGGAGGCCACGATCTTGGACACCTCTCCGAAGGTGGCGCTGGGGTTCTGGCCCTTGATGGCGGCTTGCGTGTCCCTGAAGAAGAGCGCGTAAGCCGACACGGGTTTCTGCGGCTCGTTCGGGTCTTTCTTCTTCTTGCCCTTTTTCCCGCCGACTGCCTTCCGTGCGGGAGCAGCAGAGGATGCTGGGACGGCCGGCTGCTCCGACAGAGACGGCGAGAGGGAGATGACACCAGACAACACGCACAGAGACACCGGAGAGTCCACCAGAACGCTCTTCTGAGCCGGACAGAGACACCACACGCGGGAGAGAAGAACAGAGATCAGTTCAGACCCACAGACAGCAGCTTAACAATGAAATCACTCAGAATACAGGTGTTTTATGATCCCATTTTCTGGTATTAGTTCAGTCTCACTGAAGCATTTCTGAAGACGAGTAGACCTAAATATAAAGCATTGCAATAATCCAGTCTTGTGGAAATGAAAGCATGTATAACAGTTTCCAGATCCTTGGTTGAAAGGATAGGTTTCAATTTAGATAACTTCCTCAACTGAAAAAAAGATGCTTTCACAACACTGTTTACTTGATGATCAAAGCATATATATTAGAGCCCGACCGATATGGGTTTTTTGGGGACCGATACTGATATTAGGGAGTAAAAAAAAGACAGATATCGATATATCGGACGATATTCTTTGTGTATATATTATAGTACAGTACCAGTCAAAATTTTGGACACTTTCCCATTCATGTGTCCAAACTTTTGACTGGTACTGTATATAGAATACAGTATATAGCATTTTTTGCAATGATCACTCAAATGTGGTGAACCGCCAATGACATTTTACAACAGACAGAAACCAAATAATAATAATTTTTAAAATAAATAAATAGTAACAAACACAAAACGCACCCGTCTGAAGTCGTCCATGTCGTCGTCGTGCAGCGAATCAGACAGCGAATCAGTGGACAGCGGCTGGTCAGGTGACTGTGGGCGGGGCAGGATGGTGCCGCCGCCCAGACTGAGGCCCAGCTGCGCGCTGAGCTCTGATTGGTCGATGGTGGTCAGCTGGGTGTGGCCCAGCAGGCCGTGGTTGATGTCACTCAGCGGGACGTCGATGGTCATTGGAGAAGAGCTGCTGAACTGAGAGCCAATAGGATGAGCGAGATCCTGCAGCGAGGAAAACACTTCCATTACACTGAGAAAGTCATTTCAGCAGAGTAATTAACTACCTTTAAAATCATCACTGTCCTGATAGAGGCTCAAAAAAGTGTGTGTGTGTGTTTATTTATTTTCCCTTTAAATGTTGAGATGTATTCAGTAGATTACAGTTTATTTTATTCCTAATGATAAATTCATATAAAAAAAGTGTGTTTCTGTGTGTGAATGAGTGTGCGTGCGAGTGAGTGTGTGCGTGCGAGTGTGTATGTGTGTGTCTGTGAGTGTGTGCATGTGAGTGAGTGAGTGTGAGTGTGTGTGAGTAAGTGTGAGAGTGTGAGTGAGTGAGTGAGTGTGTGTGTGTCTGAGTGTGTGAGAGAGTGTGTGTGTGAGTGTGTTTGTGCATGCGAGTGAGTGTGTGTGTGTGAGTGAGTGTGTGCGTGCGAGTGAGTGTGTGTGTGTGTGCGAGTGAGTGAGTGTGTGAGTGAGTGAGTGTGTGTGTGTGTCTGTGTGTGTCTGAGTGTGTATCTGAGTGTGTGTGAGAGAGTGTGTGTGTGTGTGTGTGAGTGTGTGTGTGCGAGTGCGAGTGTGCGAGTGCGAGTGTGTGTGTGTGTGTGTGTGTGTGAGTGTGAGGTGTGAGTGAGTGAGTGTTCGAGTGAGTGCGTGTGTGTGAGTGAGTGTGAGTGTGAGTGAGTGAGTGTGCGTGTGCGAGTGAGTGTGTGCGTGTGTGTGGGTGAGTGTGAGAGTGAGTGTGTGCGAGTGAGTGTGAGAGTGAGTGTGTGTGTGTGAGAGTGAGAGTGTGTGTGTGTGAGAGTGAGAGTGAGAGTGTGAGTGAGTGAGTGTGTGAGAGTGTGAGTGAGAGTGTGAGTGAGTGAGAGAGTGTGAGAGTGTGTGTGTGAGAGAGAGAGAGTGTGTGTGTGTGTGTGTGTGAGAGTGTGTGTG